TAAACAGTTTCATTAATTACGTAATTATCACATAAAAGAAAAACTCTTTTTTCTTCAGCTTAGGAAATCGTCTCATTCTTCCTTATCAATTTTTTATAAATTCTATTATAAATAGCAACATCAAAATATGAAGCCTAAAGATATTCCCTCGACGTTCCAGGGCTTCAGAGTTACTTCTGGCGTTCAAGGGGTTGTCCTGAGGGTTCTTCCAAGAAGATTGAATATTATTAAAATTCTTGAAGAGAGTCCCAGAGAAGCAAATGAAAAAATAAAACAGACAAATAAAGAGGAAATGAAGCTCAAGGCTCCTCCCAAAACTTTCGATAAACTTATCTAATTTGTTCTCTTTAATTCTGCACTGCAAAATGATCTATTGTTTAGTGCACTCGGAGCAGAACTAGGATTTCTTCTTTGGGGGAGCACGCTTAATTCCCTCGCACTTCCAGTCCATCCATTTTAAACAGCTTTCACATTCGATAGCATCTTGGTGTAATTCACCAGAACAACGACCACAGTACCATGGTCCTTCCTGTTTTTTTTTCAAATGATTTTGATCAAGGCCTTTAAGGCGTCTGGGTCGAAAAATCCGGTAAAATTATTCAAAATAACTACGTCACTAGTTAGTGGATCGTTTAAAGTTGATGGAGTCAGAGGATCAATATCCTTTTTCCCAATTTTATATTCTCCATTTAAAATATTTTTCACAATTGTTGGAGCAATAATGCCTTCCAGGATCTGTACTAACTTTGAATACATCGATTTTTTGGCGAATTTGAGTGGCATTTGTTCCTTGGGAACCCCCATTGCCGTTTTACGTCCTTGACTAGGTCTACCTCGACATCTTTTTTTTTCATCAAACTTTATCGTGTCCAGGCCTACGTTACTGGCGTTGGTCGTGGAGTAGGACGTGTGATGTTGCGTTATAGATTTCGATAAGTCTAAGGAGGACGTGGTCTCTGGAGCAGTTTCCAAAACCACTTTCAACTCATCAAGAGCATTGGAGAGAAGAGGTGACGATACAGAAGAGGTGTCTTTTTGAAGACTCCTCTGTTTGGAAAAGGTCGAATCTGCAGGTTTTTTCATTCCTGGTAAATCCTGTTCAAATTCTATCGACTCAAACAATGCATCAGGCGATGGTAGAAGCTGGGCAGTCTTGGATTTTCGATCGAGAATAGTGACTGCAGCTGAGTTCACTTCTTGAACAGTGATTGTTGTGGGGGGTGGAATGAGATACTCTTGACTGGAGTTTGATGAGTTCACCGAGGACGTAGTCTCTGTGGGAGTTACTGCATCCACTTTCAATCCATCAGAGGCATCAGGCAAAAGTAGAGATACACCTGTTCTCATCATCTTCTCAGCTCCATCAATCGTGGGTGATGATAGTACCTCTTTTTGGACACTGGTTGTGGAGCAGGGCATGACAATCTTATGAATGTCGTCTGATGAATCTACAGAAGATTTGATCCTTGATAGACCATCAGGAGGATCAGAAAGAACAGTTCTCTCAGTCTTCTCAAATGTATCAGCTGAGAATGGTGATAGCATCTTTAGGTCAGAGCTGTCTGGAGAAGTGTCAGCTGAAATCATCTTCGATATAGTTCCCACTGCCTGTGCTTTTTTTTCATCTGCTGCCTGATTTGGTACACTGGGTCTTGGTATTTCGGGGGCGAGTTCAGCTGTTGGTCTCAATAATGTTGGAGATGAGGAATGACGTTTGTCAATGTTTATTGGAGATTGCGGTGGTGTTAAATGCTACGAATTTTCCAACATTGTGTTACCTGCATAGTCGATCTCTGAGAAATATCTCCATTTGAAATTGGATGAATTTCACGTCTCATTTGCCTCGGTAAAATTGGTGGGGATAAACACTCGGACACTGGCGTTGCTGAAGTAGTCGTCCTGTCTGACACGACTGGAGTCTTCGTCTTGGAAAAATTCCTATTCTTTGAAGCAGTCGGTTCATCAATGAAGCTGTCATCCGCGCCACTCAACAAATCTTGTTTTAAGATTTCAAACGAATAATTTTCGAGGTCCTCAGCCCTGACTACTGGCACATTCAATAATTCTAAATGAGAAATAAGATGTGACACTTGATACCCCTTCGCAGTAGGATCACCAGATTTTTCAATCTCCTGAGAGATACTATTGCTTTTTGAGGTTGAAGGCTTTGGTACTGGTTCGAAGGCTTTGGTGAATGATTCAGGATGAGATCGTGCAGGTTATCACCATCATTATTCGATACTTCTTCAGAGTTCATGTGTTGATTACGCAATGCTCGTTTTTTCTCTAGTTCTTGTTCTCTTCAGTTTCGACGGCTCACGATTTTTCCTCACTTGGGAAAGATGTTTTTGAACACTAGCGTCCTTCAACATATAACAAATATATAAATGCAAACTCAGTCCTTCTTTCTCCTTCTTTCGTAACGCACATAATAATATGTATATAATATAATAATAATAATAATAATAATAATAATAATAATAATAATAATAATATTATAATAATATGTATAATATATATGTATATATTTTTAATTTGGAATATTCTCAGGTGACTTTCAATAGTCATCAAAATAATTGAGGGTTCAAAGCATCCCATTTGGAAATAGTAGAGAAACGCAGCGCAGTTGCTAGATAATTCGATAGGATTTTCATTGAAAATCCTATCTGATTTTCGTCTATTAAACTCTAATTACAAAATGCTAACAGAAAATAATTTTTGAAAAAATGAATAGGAATATCGGCGGACTCAAAATTGCTCGTGGTTAATTGTGCCAACCATTCTCCGAAATTTATGCACAATATAAGTCGAAAATAATTCTCTAGCAAATGCACATTTTTGTTTCCTAATGATTTTTTCTATTCCTGAAAAGCTATGGAATTCCCTAATAGACTCGTTAAAAAATTTTTGGGGAAATTTCAATATGCATTCAATAGGATTTTTAAACGAAAGCTTAAACGAACCAACTAGTGGTGGACATATTCCAACTTTTTCCCCGGAAAAGTAACGGATGGAATTATTTTTTTACATAATGTAAATTCATCAAAATAGAAAAAAAGAAAAAATTATTACATCTGTTGGGGCGTGGTTGTGGTCGACGTTGAAGGCTTTGATTATCAATTTCTTCTTTTCCTCTGTGACGTATTGTCATTAATACGTCAGTTATTTGTTGAATACAATGTGACGTATTATGAATAATACGTTACATTAAATTTATAATGTGGGACGATGAGAAAATAAATATGATTTCTTTCAAATCATATTTCTTTTCTCATCGTGCAGGAGCAGAGCTCAGCACTCTCACGGTGCCATCTGAGTCCAGCTTCTCGGTAAAGAAGCTGTTTGACTGTTCTATTTGTGTGTCAATGATGACACTTAATTGTCTTAGTGTTTCGGGACCGTGAGACTGCTTGCTCTGCAATTTTAGGTCTTGAGCGTTTTACAAAGACTCTACAAGGGCAGAGTACGATCGGGAGCAGAGTCGAGCGGACCTCTAGCTCAGGCCTTCAGCCAAAATCGAGTCGAAGTCCCTAGTCGAGTCTCTTAATAACGCGTATACCAACCCATAATTAAAACAGTCGTGTATTTTAAACCATCAGTTAATATACCATACTTTTACCGATAAATACGCGAGTGTTTATTGAGAATGTCACCAAGTAATATCCCTTCCTACCTTTCCTAACATCCCTACGAATGAGCCAATTCCCCATGAGCTCACCGCCGATGTTAGCTGAGGATTAGGTGACCATACAAAAGGAGTACAGTGCAGGAATACGTGAAAAGGTGTTGTGAAAAGGAGATTCCTCTCACTGATGGTAATAGCCGAAGGAAAAGGACTATCATTCACTGAGTTTTACCTCCGGGTAAAACTCATAACGCTACACCTCTGTAGACGTTCTAAATTGGATGAACGCTTCACATCCGGTTTTCTTTGAACTGAACACAAATTTCAATGTTAGATAAAAGAAAAAATTATAATAAATTCCCGATTAATTTGATACGAAAATCAATTGGTGAGTACTCACGTCGATGTCCGAATTTTCCTCCCCTTGGATTCGAATTCACCCCTTTTTACACACCCAAAACAACTTTCATCATATCCAAGGGCTTCGTTACATGGGTGTCCAGCAACGATCACTTTATTTAGACTTGCACTCGTTTTTGTGGACATTGGGTACCCTGTAGTCAATGTCCAGCCATCCATGAAATCTTCGAATTCTTCTTCTGTTCTAAACTCTATTTTGATAAACTTCAAAATCCATTTTGTGCAGAACGTCAACCCCTTAGTGGCACGCTCGATAAACTAATAAACAAACACGCAAAATCATTGGCAGATCCGTCCTCAAAACGTTTTCTGCGAATATTCAACTCTTTGACCTAGTACTTTGACTTTCAACTGCGTGACCTACCTGTGCATTCAATTTTTTTGTAAATGATAAATTTTACATGTCCACTAGATGAAATTCCGCCCAAGTAATCGTATTGAACGCGTGTAATCGACCTGATGATGACGACAATTAACTGCCACTATCGGACCACGAGTTCGAAACTGAATTTTTGTTTTGACGCAAGCTTACAAATGTCCCCGCTGTGACGTACAGCGCTGTCGGTTGTTTTGAAATATTTGAAATTGTGGACGGTAGGAATACTGGAAACGATAGCAAGCTGTAACTCTCGTGCGTTGTTATTGGGTCCTGTACGCCTCCCCTCTTTCAACTTAAACGTAACTTAGACTGGTATTCTCTTGTTGTGGAATTTTTTCACTTTTGTGGGAGCATTCCCGCCACATAATAAAGACCTATTCCGTTCATACTGCTTTTTTTTCGTAACCGAAAGTACTGAATTTAATCGACGCAACATGACGGAGATGTGGATTCCACAAGTTGGGGATTCATTTACGAGTTTTAAAGAATTGGATAGCAAAATGAATGGCTACTGCGATAGATCGCGCTAGGTTTTTAACAGAGGAAAGATTGAGACAATCCGGAATTCCCGTCGTCAGGGAGTGGAGAATGAAAAAGACTTTGTTTATACGTATGTCCATTACGAATGTTTATTTTTTGGTGAACCACGAACGAATGCAACAGAACGAGAGACCAAGTAAGTACTACAGTGATTCTCTTCTCTGGGCCTACTGTTTGTCCCTATTAAGGTGAAAAAACGACAGAAAACTTATAGAACAGTCAATAGAAATCCAATAGAATTGTCTAGCAAATTGGCTAGGATTTTCTATGAAATTTTTTAGTTCGTAATTTCGTACTCCTCCACTAATATAGACATCTAGAGTTGGACATCAACTGATTTTCCCCCATTATTTACAGAACGTTCAAAAGGAATTGTCCTGCAATTGTAAAAACGAGACTCAAGGGTAACAAGACTGGTGGTAACCGAGGTCAATTTGGAACACGAAAATCACGAAGGCTCTGAGGTAATACTATCATTTTTTAATCAATGTTGTTATAAGGATGAATTGACGTTCATTTCTCTTTGACTTTCAGGAACATTATCATATGCTGCCAAAGAATCGAACATTATCACCAAAAAGGAAAAAGCGCATTTTTGAGGAACTCGAGATGGGTGCCAAATCACAATTAATAAAAAATGATTTGGCAAGCAATCATAACGTCTTCACGACGAGTAAGGACCTAGCCAACATAAAAGCATCTAGAAATAAAATCAAGGATCCAAATAGCTTAGAGACATTTGTAAAGATGCTGGAAGACAAATATCGTGAGTAAAGTAAAGAATTTTGGTTCGCGAAAATTATCACCCCCAGAAAGGGAAAAAATTTAACTTAACCATTTTTAATTAATTCATTAAAAAAATCTATCATCAGCTAAGTCAATTAATTAATTGAAATTAGTCAATTTTAATTTTTGTCATTTCTGGGGGGTGACAAAACTTGTGGGTTGTCTTTTGGGGAGGAGGGGGGGGGGTGATCCACTTAGCTGAAGATAGATTTTATTCCAATGATTAATTCATTCATTAACATTAGTAATTTTAATTTTTTCCATTGGTGGGGAGTGAAAAAACATGAGGGATGTCTGGAGAAGGTCTCCCTTTTTTCATTAGTTTTGTCACCCTCAGAAGGCCAGCTATCTACTTAGCTGATAATTGATTTTTTTTCATTAATCAATGAATTAAAACAAGTTGATTTCAATTTTTTTCATTTCTGGGGGATGATAAAACTTGGGGGTTGTCATGGGACGGTCTCCCTACTTTTTAGTAGTTTTGTCATCCTCAGAATGCCAGCTATCTACTTATTAGCTGATAATCGTTTTTCTGTGCATTAATTAATAAATTGAAATTAATTGATTTCAATTTTTTTCATTTCTTGGAGGATGACAAAACTGGGGGGCTACCTTCGGAAGGTCTCCCTCTTCTTTATTTTTCATTTTTGTCACCCTCATTTTTTTTCCCATTAATTAATGGATTAAAATTAGTTTATTTCAATTTTTTTTCATTTCTGGGGGGTGACAAAACTTGGGGGTTGTTTTGGGAAGGCTTCTCTTTTTTTAGTAGTTTTGTCATCCTCAAAAGGCCAGCTGTCTACTTATTAGCTGATAATCGATTCTTTGTCCATTAATTAATGACTTAAAATAAGTTAATTTCATTTGTGGAGGGCAACAAAAATTGAGGATTGTCTTGGGAAGGTCTCCCTAATTTTTTTGCATTTTTCGCCACTCTCAGAAGGCCAGTCATCTGCTTAGCTGATAATAATAATTTCCATCATTCACAGATTGTGAAGTGGACATTTCAACCGACGAGAATATGGTCTACAAAGGATTGCACTTTACTAATAAACAGATGAAAGATTCCATGTCTGCGTGGCCAGAGATGCTCTTCGTCGGTGACACATACAAACTATTTAATAGGAATTTGGTGCTCTTATTGTTCTTAGTAGTGAATAGCATTGGTCGAGGAGAACTAGTTGGAGCAGCTATAGTGAGTTCAGAAGACCAAGAGGCTCTCACCTGGGCTATTCGAACTTTCAGAGAACGTAACGCTACAGCATCTGAAAAGACAAAAATTATTATGACAGACAAAGATCTGACAGAGAGAAATTCGTTGAGAGCAAACTTTCCAACTGCTCATCTAGTGTTGTTTTATTTCACACGATGAAAGCCCTTGCACAAGCACTACGCGACCAGAGAATAGCCTCGGATATTATCGAAGCGTGTACGCCAATTCTCCGTAAGTTAGTGTACAGTTCATCTAATGAAGAGTACGATGAATGGTACGATAGGCTCAACGTTGTAGCACCAGAAAGATTCAAGAACTATTTCAAGACGAATTGGCATGCTATTCGAACTCAGTGGACACGTCATCATGTGGCAAAAGGAAATTTTAATAATTTTACCAACAACCACTTGGAGAGTATGAATAAGCAGATTAAGCAAATCTGCGGTAAGCACCAAACACTATGTAAATTTAGAGAACAGTTTTTTGCGTTGCTGCAATCGAATAAGCAGGAGACCAATTTTAAAATGGTCATGAATACTTTCAAGACGCCCACAAAAGTATTTACTGGACATTGGAGTGAAGATGCAATTCAGTACAGTAATTACCTGTGCGATGAACCTTTTGCCAAAGTTAAGAAACAGATGGACCGATGTGAAGCCATTAACCTGACAGTTGTGAATGCTAATACTAAAGAATGCTGCATAAATTTGAAAACAAACATCATCACTGCCACTCCTACAGATTGTACCTGTGAATTCCACAATTCATGTGAGCTGCCATGCCGGCACATATTTGCCATTCGCAAATATTTTAAGATGCCTCTTCATGATCACCTACTATATGCAAACACTACATAACTAAAAACGATTTAGCGTATCTCACGGCTGTAACGATGAACGATCAAGTTGGGAGTTCATTGGTGCAGGCTGAGAATTTTGAGGGTTTCTTTCAAGCTGATGCCTTTCAATTTTTGAAAGAATCGATTAGCGAGAAGCTCCACAATAATTTCTGGACATGTAATGTATGCGAGACTACTAAAGCAGATTCGTTTGTCGAATGTCCAGGATGCTTACGGAGAATACATCGCAAATGTACGTCCCTGAAGAGAAATTCATCGAAAAAATGGTTCTGCTCACGCTGTAAATAAAGAAATTTTAAACAATCTGCTTGAAAAAACCCTCAAAAGCCTGAGGACAACCCCTGGAACCCTAGAAGTGTCTCTGAGCTCCTTCAGAGGGACTCGCATGCTCAACATAGTGCAAGACATCTCCAATGTCAATCAGAAACCCTGTGCCACCAAAGAAGACTCTGATGAAACTTCTGACGACTCTTCCTCTGATAGCAGGAATGATAATATCAATTTTGTGAAGTTGACTAACTCAGAAGAGGTTCCTGGAACCTGGAGGCAATGTCTTTAGGCTTCATATTTTGATGTTGCTATTTATAATAGAATTTATAAAAAATTGATAAGGAAGAATGAAACGATTTCCTGAACTGAAGAAAAAAGAGTTTTTCTTTTATGTGATAATTAAGTAATTGACGAAACTGTGTAAGTGTAACAGCTGGAAACTGACATTGACAAGTTCAGACGATTTATTTTTTCAATTACATTTTCTGATGTTTGTTTATTAAAATAATTTTTTTTCCATCTTAGCATATTGTTTTTTAATTTTTTTTTCAAATGGAGTAAATAGAGGATTTTTTGAGCTTGAAAAATATTTTGAAAACTCTCAATATATAGATTGATTAAATATAAAGATTTTTGAGAATAATTTCGTGTCTCTGAATGGATAATTAGGATAATTAGGTAATTGATTGAACGGTTTGAATGGTAACGGTGTGGAACTGAAGGTGAACACGTGAGGAATTTTATTTGTGAAATAATATTTCTGCACGTATGTTTATTCAATTGGTACTTTAATACTCAGAATTAACCATTTAATGATTTTTTAAATTTCATTCTGGGACATGATGAACTATTTGACGATGATAATATACAATCCAACCATTTTTCGTCATCTTTCCTCATTGGCAATATAATTTCATAACAATCGTTTTTGTTGCGACACAAACAGTCATTTTATTCATTTGATTGATCAGTTTGTATGTTATTATATCGTTTGTTTTTAAAAATATTTCTAAAGGCATAATTTCTAAAATATTTCTTAGACTAGTCAAATAAGAACTTTTATTTTTTCTTTTCTTCAAAGATTTCTTTTAGTACGTAAAACTCTCAGAAACTGAAAACCAGACACTAAACACGAAAATGAGTTCAATATATTTTTCTCTCTTACAAAGACACCATTCAACTTGACGAGAAATGTAACAGTTTATTTCACCACAGTCAGGTCCTTCAGACCTTTTGTTACTTTGATGACAAACACATGTTGGAAAACTGTCTGGACCCATGGGCCTTCGCCACACTGCGAAGTATCCCTACTCCTACATTTCTTTCTCTCTCTTTTTCTCCTTTTCCGATGCATTTTTGTCAATGCTCTCTTTTCAACTTGTATGAAAAACAAAACCTTTATTCAGCCAAGAAAATCGTCCACTAGTTGACGACAGTAACCGAGCAACCGTGATGAAGAACACTTCTCCGACTATCCAATTTTTCACAGTCAAAATATCTCAAATCCGAATTTAAGTCAATTTGTTAATCAAATTATTTTTTAAAACAATATTTTTAGTGACCTTTGATTATTAGTGTTAAGTAGAATGTGTACGACGATTATTTTGGATTATCAGTGTTTTTTATCAAATGGAGAATTTATTCGTTGACCATGTGAAACTAAGTGAAATTTTTTTGCATTTAATCTAAAAATAAAAAAACATTATTTGAGTGAATTGAAATCAGTGTCTCAAGTTTTTCTTAATTAAAATTCCCCTTCATATTCACCTTCGGTTTAAGAAAATTTGGGATAAACCGTTTTCTTTTTCAGTTATTCATTAGTCATAAATTATTTTGTTAATCGTTGATTATTTCAGAGATGAGTAATTTCAGGATCAAATGGTGATTTTTTCTTTTAATTCATGAAAGTCTCTTGTCATTTTATTTATAGCATTCAACTCATTCACTAGAAATTCACTCAAGTAGAATTTCAAAAACACTCATTAATCGTTACTTCTTCAAGTAGTTCAGTAATAACAAATTAATTAAAAAATAATGAATCAATGAATGTTGAGTCCAGGGCAAACTGCTGAGGCTTTTTTTAAATCAATCGTAATCACTAATAAGAAAAAAAGAGAATTGTGGATTGATCATTAGTAAGCACTCGTGTGCAAAAAATCACCATTGAAAAAAAAATCACTTTCAAATTTTTGAATTTCGATCATGATTTAAGCTGGAGAGGTTATGAAAATAGCAGTCACGGTTTGGAAGTTACTGGCAAAGGATAATCTAGGAACTTGTTCGAGCGACGGGAAGTAAAGCTGGGGACTTTCCGTGATTGTAATACAGACACGGTTAGCTTCGTTAGCTTCCCCCGAGACCTGTGACTCCAATACAGTCACGGATTGACTTCCCGTGATCCGTGTATGGTGTATTTAATCACTCCGAAAGAAATTTTACGTTAGAAATGGAATTGATTTTCTAATCGATAATTTGCCTGTTAGAAGACTTCATG